ACTTTTCTGAGTTGACCTTTGAAGGTGGTACATTTGTTTTGTGTTTAGGTCAGTAAATAATTTTGAACAATTACTTTCTACCATTAAATATTAATTTCATATTTACACAATAAAAATACACTCTAAAGCTAAATGCCTTGTCATGTTTTGAAGTACAAGAGGAACAAACAACTGCGACTTTTCATCAAAGCATGTGACTCCTGTTTGGTAGGGAGTGAATCAACAACTCGTACCTTTGTCTTTTTCCGCATCTCCATAGAAGTTCCCAGCCGTGAGTTTCCACTCTCCATAGTCAGACTTGTGTTTGGAGTTCACCCAGCGACTCCTCCATTCATCTAAACAGAAAACGACCAGTAAGTTTGTTTGCGGATTAACACTTTGTGCTCCTCTGTCAAACATTTCAAATTACTTCCCCAAAAGCATATCGCACAACCGTCCAGTACTCGTCGTTACTGTCCACAGTGTCGCTGTCACAACGATGCTATGGTTTGGTTTGTTATGCTGCAACTTATGGATAATCACTTGCGTAGCTTTGGGGCCTTGCTAAAGTTAGGCAGCTAACTAAGCAGTTTAAGTGAAGAGTCTGTGAGCGGTGGCATTCTTCACCGAGTCACCAGTTAATTAGAAGACATTTATTAGTACACTCAGGACTCTTCTGAACAAACGACAGCTGAAATGTAAGCTGGCAGGCAATGAATTAACGCTAACCTCGTGCACTGTTATAAATGACGATGACAAACTTACCGCCGTCCAGAAACTCCTCACGAAAGTAAACCTTTGCATGTACGCAGTACAGGGCTAATACTACCGCAACAACACCCAAGACTTGCATCTTCCCCATTTCAGCTCTACTTTCCCGCAGAAGTCCACAGTGCAGTCCCTGTGCTGTGCAGCGAATAGGTTGAGGAGAAGGAAGAGGAGAATACTTTAGTGTTGCTCCAGCGAACAGATGTCTACCTGCTATTGGACAACAACATGGTGTGCCTGGACCAATCACAGTAGACCACGAAACATTTGTCCTCTCCGGAGCCTGCTCCAAGATCAGGCGCTGCTTCAGTCACTTCCATTGTGTCATTATATCAACCGTCCAGTAGGGGGTACCAAGTATACAATAAATAAATAGGAGAACACTCTAAACGCACAGGTGCATTTTAAACACCTACAGCATCATTACAGGTTCAACTAAGATAAAGCAAGTGAGGAGGACAAAGATATCACTAAACTACTAGGTCGCGTGCAGTGTCACAGAAAGCTCAGCCAACGCTGGACACTTTAAAACCATGCTGGGAAAAGAAAGGGAGGGAAGGCTTTGGGAAGACAGTGACACGGATCGGTTAAATATAACCAGTGCTACCAGTAGTACAACCATGAATACTTTCCACAGTAGAGAAGAAGAACAAAGATAAGGAACATATTTCTAACTCCCATGCTATACAGACATATATTGATATATGCCACAGTTATGTTCTGCTCAGCACAGATACATCAGAGAGTCCATCCATCCATGCATGTTGAAGGATAATGAGTTTTTTTGGGAGAGGTTTCCTCCACAGCAGAAATGTACAGTAACTCCAACACCTGACTGAACCAACTCCACCTCTGAGCAGTCTTTGTAGTAGAGCACGTGAGACTTTGACAGTATTTTCATCATCCACACACACAGTTTCCATGACCATATATATTTATTGAAGTTGTCCAAAGCATACTGCATGAATTGAAAATGAAAGATTTTTTAGCATTAATGTAACCCGTTCTGCATCTATTGTATTGTTCAAACATTTGTGTTTTTCTCAGTAATCACTGAGTTAAGCTTTAGGCATTTCTCCTCTTATTGTAAGGACTCATCCTCAGCTGTAGTCAGATTCATGTTTGTGGTACGTGAGGTTACATTGCTACCTTCAACATTAATTCATTGCAACAAACTGTCCTTTACTTTGTTTGGAATCTAACTGCAAAGGTAGATATGATTTTAGTATACACCACATTATCCTCTGTAGGGTCACGGGGGGCTGAAGTCAATCCCAGGTGATTTATGGTGAAGACAGGGGACACCCTGGACAGGTCGCCAGTCTATCACAGGGCTAGACTTAGAGACAGACAACCAAGCACACTCACATTCACACCTACGGACAATTTAGAATCACCAATTAACCTCAGCATGTTTTTTGGACTGTGGGAGAACCCAGTGAGAACCCACGCTACACAGGGAGAACATGCAAACTCCACGCAGAAAGACCCCAGGCCCAGATTCAAACCCAGGACCTTCTGCATCAAAGAGTCTAAGAAATAAAATAAGTATAGCATTTGCAGTGCCAACCTTATAATATTAGTAAGGTTTTTATCCGCCATCACAGGAGAAATGTTTGCAGTGTAGTATATAAAAGACAAAAGACCACTGAGACCAATGATCTGCTCAGATTCAAGCTCATCACTGACCTGTTTACAGAGGAGTTAGTCAGTACTGTATAGCACACCAGACATCTTGATAGAAATACAGCAGACATCACACAGAATTCAATTGATGGGACTTACAGTAACATTGAAGTAACATGAAGATTAAAGAAGAAAAAACAAAAAACGTTTTAGTTAACCTTTTAATGACAGCATAATTCCTCAAAGTGTGCATCAACATGAAGATGATCAGAGGTGTGGAGAGTGGGCCAGAATCTGTGTCTACCAACTAAAGGTCACCAGGTATAAAACAGATGTTTTACATGCACAAGTCACTATACACACGGTTTTATTCTGTTCACACAGATAATGTGAATACAGTTTTAGTACTGTATATGTAGCTAGACAGGAGAGTAAGCAAATGACAGTGAAAACAAAACAACAAACGCACATATTGAATTAGACCTAAATTTATATAATTTTATGGTAACTCTACAACACATGTTGTGCAAATGGCAAGTTCTTGATCTACAAAAGTGAAATTTAACACTGTAATATTTAAATTTAACCCAATTCCTAAGTAAAAATAGTGAATATAAGGATATTAGACATGGTGGTGGATACAAATAGTTTGTAGTTTGGTGTTGAAGTCTCACAATGATTCGTACGATCATCTGGTGTATTTGTTTTCCTGTTGTCGTGATAGCCTACTTCATCTGATAGTGTCTTGGAAATAGTGCTCTGACTCCTGAAAAATACAACAGTTTACTGTTTGCTGGTAAATTTTATGCTAATGCATTGCAGATAAAGGCAGAATTTGTCCAGCATCTCTTTCAAAGAGAAGTACAAGAGAGACAGCTTATGTATAGTATGACAGTGAAACTCTTTTAAGTGCTTTTTATTTTTAAAGATTATTTTTTGGGCTTTTTTTTTTTCTTTTGCTTTTACTGGATAGGACAGTGAAACAGGGGGAGAAGAGTGGGGGAAGTACATGCAGCAAATGAGCTTTTAAAGGCCTTGAGTTCTCTGTTTTTGACCCTACTTATGGAACACACACATCCCAATACTGAAAGCAGTGGTGTGTTTTTATCCATAACACATTTGCATTTAGTTTCTCTAAAAGTGAATTCAACTTTAAGTAGATGATTAGGGGGGCTGCAAGGTGGCTCGGTGGTTAGCACCATTGCCTCGCCGCAAGAAGGTCACCGGTTCGCGTCCCAGTGAGGACACCTGGGGTCTTTCTGCGTGGAGTTTGCATGTTCTCCCTCTATCTGAAAATATTATAATCAAACCGTCTTGTAAAATCTGATTTTCATGAAATGCTGTGAAACTTCTGATCTTTACTTTGTTTCTAGAACCTCTGTGATGCCCTGGATAATGTTTTTGATGCCAAACTTGTAGAGGAAACTCTCCTGGGAGTCTTCTACTCTGGGTTTTTGGTTTACTGAGCTACTGGAGAGAAACAAACAGTTTCACAGTTGGGTGCTTGGAGGAAGATCCAAAACTTTTTGGATGATGGGCTTCTTTAAACCACAGTGTTACACGTTTTTGTAGAATAAGGCCTTTTAAGACTATTTTACACTGTT